TAAGGAAGAGATCCGTTGCAGGCGGAATTATCCGTTGCTCGATCGATTAGTGTACTATGTCACGCGTATCCGCGTATATAATATTACATTATAATTATATAAAAATATATTTCTTAATTGTTAACACTATAATAAATGAGTATTATAAGCATTATATTTGCACATTTTTTTATCTTTCTTTCCTTTTCTTTTTTCGCATAGTGATAGTGGTAAACACGATGCCTATCGCGGATAACCGAAGCTTCTACACGCACGAAACGTCGAGGAAGTACAACCGTGACGTACCGGTTTGCCGTATGCCGCGCGCACACACACACACACACACACACACACACACACACACACACTCTCTCTCTCTCTCTCTCTCTCACACACACACACACTCTCTCACACTCACTCACTCACACACGCACACAAACATACACACACTGGCACAAAATTTCAATAATACGGTAATATCTGTATCTCATCTTTCTTCTCGTTATTTTTTTTTTTTATCAATAACAATATCACTTATCACTTGTAGTACTCGTGTAAATAAAAAGACGCATAAACTGTTATAAAATACATTCTCGAGTATTATCAATCTGTAGAGTATATATATATATAATATACGTCCTTATCTCTCTACGCGTTCGAACGAATAAAATCATATAAACGTCGTAATATAATAATTTTAATCGTACAATATTGGAAGCATTTAATATCATACTTAGGTGTTACGGTTATTTTCGGGCCTCGGATTTCGGTGAAGAGATTATTGCGAGGTTTCGATGCACGTTTCGTGTTTCTTTGCGCCGCACCTTTCCATAAAAATATAAATATACAAAAGACGAAAGGACACTCTGAACATTTCGGACATCCTTTTGACGTCTTTTGCATACATTCTTTCAGATTTCTATGTTATACATGTCACATCAAAATCTAATTTCCAAACTACTACAATCTCTGCACGCGTCGCGCGTTTTGAGAGATTACTTCCGCTGGCGAAAGCGAGGTCAGAATTAATTCTGATGAAAGGTGCCACACAGTGCTTATTCGTTGCAAGAGGAAAAAGTGATAAATAAAATGGAAGAGGCCCTGAGAAACGGATCCTCGCGGAATGTGTAACGCATTTCACGACGTACTACGTATTTCTCATCGTCTCGAACAATTATCACGTTAGACATTACAGGAATAACGCATCATCAACTTGTCACCATGTAAGTACAATAGTATATAAAAAAAGAAAAGACCTTCTCGCATGACATCGATCACCGACCCGCATGGCCCTTAAATCCAAACTCGCTCTTTCTCTTTCTTTTTCTTTCGTTTTTATACATATAATAATAATAGAATAATAATATAATAATATAGCCTGCTTTCTTCGAGTAAAGTTATTCATTGTAAGGAAGTGGAACATGAGATTCTAATCTCCGTCTTTACAATCGACAAAATTCCTTAATGTTAAGCTCAATTAACAGCTGTACCCCAGACATATTTGATTTGGTAAAACTCAATTATATCCATCTTTACTCGTGTAAAACGAGTACTCATTATACTATGCGCGATCTCCATTCTTATATTCAAATTATCTTTGGAACCTGAGTTTTGGAAATTATTTGTCGAGATATCTGGCACGTGCTTCGCGAAGATTAACTGTTTAAAAACTTCCCTTTTCTATTCATTTCGATCATCGAATCTAATATATTTCATATATTTTTTGCGAATGGATATCGCGCTTCTCATACGGACGTAGCTAACAAATTTGTACATTAATTAGTTTTCTTATTATTGTCATGGTATATATAATATTTTGTTAATAAAAATACTAAAATATTATGTATATTATATTATATATATAATAGATTATTGCATTATGCTTTTTGGTACCGTTATATGCGTTTGGCTTATTTGTCGACACGCTTGCCGCGAGTAATTTTCTTTTTCATTTATATTCACCGGTTTTCATTTTTTTTTAAGTTCTAAAATAAAATTAGTAAAATTTCTAAAGTCGGCTCAGACGATTCGAGATAAAACAATATTATTTTCTTTATCTCAGTTACGAGATTTAATATATTTTGACATCTAAGTTTTCCGAATTGCATCGTCTAAACCGTTCTTCATCTTTTTCTTTTTCTTTGAAGTACGAACCGACGAGCAATAACGCCATGGCTTTATAATGTGATGTCGCGCAGCATCTTAGGTATACATTATCTATATTTATATAGCTTCACAAAACGTCGCGGCGTCTCTTAAAATTCATACCGCGAGAGGAGAGTATAAAGGCGTTCTAGCGTTTTCACACGAAATGGGAGTTTCGAATAAACCCAGACGTAAAAGAGGAATTCTAAACGTAAGAAAAAAAAGCATAGTCTTATATAGATCATCCAGTAAGAGCAAAATGTCAGCAATAGCTAGCAGTTTGTCAGTAAATTCAAGCAGAATATTACGACATACTGGCATCAACTGCATCCGCATTATAAGCTTACATTCTACCAGCAAAGTCTGCCGATACAATTTAACAACATTTACCGAGCAAAATCTGTTATTTCATAATCATTTAAATGTAATATCTTCAAATATAAGTCAAATTTGAGTAGTATAGCGAAAGAAGTTGTGGTAAGTGACAAACAGAGGAAAAAAGAGAAGAAGAAGGAAATTAATATGGAAGAAATATTTTAAAAGAAGCTGTTAAGAGTGACATATAGGAGGTAGAAAAAGAAAAGAATTGATGAAAAGAGGAGATAAGAAGAGAAAAAGTAAAAAAGGAGAGCAAGAACGATATTCCTGAAAGTTTGGAAGTACAGTGAGGAGAAAATTAAAAAAAGATGGGTTTGGATTTTGTAACAGAATTTGGTAAAGAATGATGAGAAAGCGTTAGGAAATAAAAGAGAAAGAGGTTATAGACGTAAAATTGATTCCGTCATTATATCAAGAATATCTCGCGTTAAGTGTACACATACACTAAGAGAAAAATTATTTTAATTACTATAATTCAATTAATTTATAGCATTTTTGTTGTTATACATTTTTTTTGATAAAATTATAAATACAATTATTATCAAAATTATAGCAATAACTATAAAATGAATAAAAGAGTCCTAATCATAATTATATTATTTTGCTATATCGATTATAGTTACAAGTATTAAAAACTTTTCTCTTAGTGTAGGACAAGACCCAGTTGCGAATACTCAAAATTATTGGACCTCATTAAGGTGGTTCTACAGTAAAGTGCTGAAAATTTATGGGACCCTCACCAGGATCCACCTAAAATTACGAATGTCTGCATAATTTGAATAAAATATTAAAACTACGTGTATATTTTAATAAAATAGTAGAAAATAAACAATATTTAGTATAAAAAAGTAATGAAATAAAAAGAAGTTGATTTCTTGTACAATTTGTTTTTGTGAAAATTCGATATAATATAATAATATAATATAATTTTTCTATTTTAATATTAAATATCTTTTAGAATGACCGATTATTTTTTTGGGATCATTACAATTGTAATTTTTTTAACTATTATAATCTCGTTTTTTTAAAGAAATTTATGGTAATGTTTGTGTGCGATTAGTATAAAAGTGCCTCCAATCCTTATGTCACTAGGTTTAAAGTGAAATAATGACATTTTCAATATTTTTTTCTCTTATTTCATCAATAACCTAAAATTTTGCACACGTCAAGTTCAGTATTTCAACTTCATTACATTAAAAAAGAAGACATTTCTATGGTAACTCGATTTACTGTAGAACCACCTTAATCGCTAAATCGATTAAGTTCTAAATAAGTTCAATTGATAACTTCTTAGTGAGAAATAACGGAGTCGACATCGAATCGAAGTCGATTCAACATCGAAATCATCAAATTGACGTCGAATCGATGTTGATTCGACATCGATTTCATTATCATTTCTCACTAGATTGAGTTTGAATTACAATAAAGTATACGCAACGGTATACATTTGAATAATCATTAAAAAAAGATCAGTATAACAAAAATATAGCGACAATATTATTACTGACAATGTATGTACATTAGTAACACATTGTACTAGTAACAATACATCATTCTTGTAAAACATAACGTTTATTATGTCTTACAAACTTGAATAGAAAATTTTGAATCGTTTAGAATATAATAAAGAAAATAAGGAATATCAAAAGCAACAAAATACGTCCATTTAGTCTTAGTATGAGCTATTAAAGCTTATTGAAATATATTGTGATATACTCATTTGAAAAAGTATATCTTATGCCTAAATGAATAAAGAATTCTATAGCCTACAATTTTGTTCACCATAGTGATGGCGATCAGAACAATACAAAGTATTGGGAAGATCAAATTGGATACAGTAGGGAAGCAAAAGATAATATATAAGATAATATATAAGATTTGCAAAAAAGGAAGAGGGCGAAAAAGTCATGGAAGCATGTATAGGAATAATATAGGAATTAAATTTCAAGAAACAAAAGAGAGAGAGGGAGGGATAAGTAATTAAGAAAAACATAATAACAATGAAGAGAGAAATAATCAAAGATTTTGCTTGGTTTTTGATGGCACTCTACTAATAAAATTTGTACTGACACTTTGCAAAAATCTTTTGGATAGATTTAGTTATCTGAGTGACTGTGCATTCTTATACAATAGCTGATGGCAACATTGAAGGACAGAAATATATATAGTCACATGTCTGTCACATAATGTTCTGGAAAAAGTTAATGTAAGAAAACATAAAAATAAGAAAACATAAAAATAAGACAATGCGTAGTTCCGTAACAATTTGTT